TTTCTTAGTCCTTCCTGATATCTGACAAAAGTACACACTCAATAAGTAAAAGCTTATGGAAAGAATGAATGGATCCTTAACACTAGAATTTCAAGCAGAAACAGTCTCTGTCTGTCCTCGTTCTGAATGGTAATTCCATGGGAGTTCAGAAGGAACCTGTGAAGAAATGTAATCGCAGTGTGCAAAGACTAAAAGTGAGGGGCTCCCCTTCGGGAGAGTCTGCAACATCCCGGTTTGGCTGAGTGGATCATTCCACTGCCTGAGGGACTGACAACGAGAAAACAGATTGGAACTAGGTCTCCCAAAGTAAAGGGCACACTGCAAAAAGGCTCCAAGACACTGGAGTCAAAATTTCCCCCCTTATTCTTAAACTTAAAATTTGTCAAAGTAAAAAAAATAAGTCTCCTGTTGGAGTGTCACTGACCAACAGAGCAAGCAGCCTAATTCATAAAGCATCACTGTAACTGTGCTTCTTGGTAGAAAAAGATATTCTTTATCACTGCACTGGAATACTCTGGTGCATCACGAAGAATAAATTTGGTATATGAATCCTGGGTTTCTTCATACCTCTTGGCCAACTATTCAGCAGAAAAGTGGCAAGGTCAGTTAGCCACGGGGGGTACATTACGTTCACCAATGTGGTTCAAAGAGAGGGGGATGAACAGGTAACGACAGTCCTGGCACGTCCTCAGGAAGGGCACAGCGCAACCAAGTTTGGGAAACCACAGACTGAGTGAACCAACTAAAGGAAACACAGCTGCTTAGAAACCTGGAGCAGAAAGGTAGTAAAGGAGCAACGCTTACAAATGCTCACCTTGAACAGAATAACAGTACTTTGATTGGAAATTTCCCAAAGCTACCAAATCAACAGGTGGATGGTAGTAAAAGAGCTAGTATGAGAATGAGATATGTGAAATTAGAGTCAGCATGACCAGTGGCCCTGTGGAGGAAGAACACAATATCTGTAGCAAGGTTCTGGCTGGTTTATTTTTGTGCAAGACAAGCATGAAGTAAAAAATATGAAGTAATAGGTAAGCCAACTACATGCTATAGGACACAATGGAACAATCCAGGGTAAACAGGAAAATCAGGCTAAAATCTGACTCAGAAAATAAGCTGCTTAGGAAGCCAAGAAGACTAACTAGTTAAATGATTTGATTTCTCAAGAGTAATACCTGGGCATGGAAATGGAGGAAAAAGACCAAGTTTAAAAAAAAGGCAGGGGGAGTAAATAAATCATGAAGAGTGTTACCAAATAGTCATAAACATTGGCCTCTTCAGCCAGTTAAAAGGACATAAACGCCAAAAGAAATAAAATCACTGCGAAAGCACAAGCTAAGGCGAGACGGTGCTTCAGGAAGGCGTGTCTCCTGCGTGCCGAGGCATCTAGCAAGACTTCTAAAGACCAAAAGCCACTGCTGCTTCTCTCTCAATCCCCAACCAACCCCACACCTAGTGATTTCAAGACGAGTGTATAGAATCTTCCATGTGGGTCTCATGGACAGAATGGAAACGTGTGGGGGGAGGAAAGTACAGGGAACTAAATCCACAGGAGACTGAACAAGGTGCTCATCGCACCCCTGATCTTGTCCTACTCAACATGGTTACTAACAACCCGAAGACATGAATAGTAAACCAGGCTTGCTAGTAGTACAAAGTGGGAAAGTGACAGCTAGTATCACCGATTGCGTAATCATTCCCTCCCTCCCATCTCCTCTGTCTCTGCCTAGATCAGCATTTCCTAAAATGTGTTCCACAAAACCCTGACCCTGGAAACGAGACCTGAAAAACGGTTTCCCAAGTTCAAAACATTTGGAGAATTCTGCATGTCCTTCCTTCTTAGTTATTAATACATCAAAAGCTCTGAGAAATCCTGTAATAAATGAAACTCTTTCTTGATTTAACTTAATGTTTCCCAAACATTTGCTCTTGAAACATTTTCACATAGTAATCATAACTGAGGAGAGCCTAAAGTTTAGGCCCTAAGCCATGTTCAAATTTTCTGTGCTAAAAAAATGATTCAATCCCCTTGAGTTACTACTGCCTCATCACTCTTCTTCCTCCCACTACCATATTAAAAAAAAAAAAAACTCTTGACACTTCCTGCCTCCTGTTTCCTCACTACCCACTCACTTCTCCATCACTCGAAATCTGGCTTCAGCCCCCAGTACTCTGCTGAGTCTTCTCGTGATATGATCAGCTGCACAGATAGCAGAACTAATGGCTTCTCTTTGGTCCCTCTATCCCTCTGCAGGGTCACACAGGAACATTCACACTTCTTGAAACTCCTCCTTCAGCTTCCACAACACTGCATTCCACCCCTCTCTCTGACTATGTGATCTTTGGTTCCTCTTTCTCTTTCTGAACCTTCAATTCTCAGATCAACTCTTACTTCTCCCTTGAGTGAACTGCCCACATTCTGAACTACTGCTCCTTCATGGATCCACAATTCTAACCCTAAGCCATTTCCTCGACTTCAGATCCAAATTTCCAATGGGCTTCTCACTTTACTTTTCTCCAAGGACTATACATTCAATATACTCCAACCAAACTCGTCTATTTCCCCACCAAACTTTCTACTCTTCTTGTTTTCTTGATTCCTGTTATGAAATCACCATTCCCAGAGGGTGTGGGGGCAGCAGAGTCACATCAATCATCTGTGTGGCTCCTGTGCTAAGACACAGAAGAAACTCAGCACACTTGGAAAAATGGATGAATCCTTTGAATCATACCCAATTCATACCTTGTTCTTCAAACTCCAATACTATACCAAATTCTCTTATACTTCAACAAAAGCTCTGGATTCTTTCCATGTAACAAGGCCACTATTATTCATCAGACTTGAATGAAACCCCAAACCCAAACTACAACTATCTTCTAAATGGGCAATCGAGCTACCACCGCTACCAGAGCAATCTTTCTAAAATGCTACTCTAACCACATCACTCCTTGGCTCAGACACCTTCAATGGTTCCCCACTATTTCCAGAATACAGTCCAAACCCCTTAGCATGCTATCACTGCCTTCCATGTCTGGACCTCTGCTATCTTTCCATCTGGCACACTATAGCCAGTGGGCCAAATCTAGACCACTGTCTGTTTTCTAAATAAAGTTTTACCAGAACACAGACAGTTGACATTTTGGGCCCGATAATTCTTTGTTGTAGGGGGCTGTCCTGTGCGCTGCAGAATGTTTAACATGATCTTTGGCCTCTAGTCACTAGATTCCAGTAGCACTTCTCCAGTGTAACAACCAAAAACGTCTCCAGACATTGCCAAATGTCTCCTATGGGACAAAACTGTCTCCAGTTAAGAACCACTATTCTAGAGGTTTCTAAGCACAAGCTAACAGTATGATGTCGCTGCTAATAAAATACAGACTATATAGTCACCGTAGTACAGTATCCAGATTAAAAGATAAGAGTTGCATAGTATTCAGTGCTAGGTGACTCACACTCGTTGAGACTGTGCTCAATCATGAATTTTTTTTTTTTTTAAAGATTTTATTTTTATTTATTTTTTCCCCCCAAAGCCCCAGTAGATAGTTGTGTGTCACAGCTGCACATCCTTCTAGTTGCTGTATGTGGGACGCGGCCTCAGCATGGCCGGAGAAGCAGCGCGTCGGTGCGCGCCCGGGATCCGAACCCGGGCCGCCAGCAGTGGAGCGCGCTCACTTAACCACTAAGCCACGGGGCCGGCCCTCAATCATGAATTTTAAGAGGACTTTGGAAAACTGGAATTGATACAATCAAAGGTGACCAGACTGATGAGAAACTAAGGGAAAATATCCTCACAGGGATATTTAAGTGAATGGAGGTGTTTAGCCTGTACAAGAGAAGATGAAGAGAAACTCATGATCCTTAAATATCTGATGGGCTGTCCTGGGGGAGGAACGTTTAACTTGCTGTTGTTCAGGAAGGCAGAACTAGAACCAGTGGGCAGCAGCTGCAGGAAGGCAGATTTTGGCTCTATACAAGTAAAAGCTTTCTAACAATCAGAGCTGGCCAACAAATGTATTAGGCTGAGCTGTGAAATGCTGTGCTCTCATCATTCTGGAAGTGTTCAAGCAGAGACCAGATGAATTAATGTCAGAGATGCTGTAGAGAGATTCCCGCATGGGGTGGGAGGTAGGATAAGATGGTCTCTCTAGGGTTCCTTCCAGCTCTGAGATTCTAAGCCTAGCAAAGGAAAAGCGATATGCCATGAACAATAAAATTCTCTGGTTTCAAGACCTTAATTACAACAAAAGAGAAAAATATTTTGCTAAACAATTTCCCCTGTGTCTGTTTGGTAACATCTTAGGTTTAGTCCCTGGCATTGCAACTACCAATGATCTGTTTTTTCTAATTGACCTGTAATCAGTTCCCAGATAATGTATGTCACTACCTTTAAACCATATCTTTTATTCTGCTAATAATCACCGCTAGTACAATTTGTACAATGCTTTACCTTTCAAAGCATCATGACATGCATTACCTTACTCACATTAGCTAAATATGAACACGAAAACTTATTTTAGATAACCTGCTCTCATTTACTGTCTCTTGCCAGAATTTCTTATGAAAGAAAGCTAGCCCTTATTATTCATTAAACATTCACTAAAGAAGCATATTCCAGCAGATACTCATCTCCAAAATAAATCATTTACACAACCCAGAGATGAACCAAATCTAGTTATATCACTATCAGATAAGCCAAATCTAGATATTTCAGCATCAGAAACATGGACTTACCTCAGTGAAATTTCTATTTTATTTATGATTTGGGGAGGAAATTTGAAAAATTATAATTTAGTTCTCCCAAATTTCAACATGGCCATACAGACCAAAAGTTCCAGAAAGCAGTCACAAAACAACGTGAAACATACGTATGGTTGACAAGCAAAGCCATCGTAGGCCCTAATTCCAGGGACTCCTTTATTCCTCAGCTAAAACTGCTCATGAGAGTTGTGTAAGGACTTTCCCCAAGCCAAACTGGGCCCTCACTCACTGCTTTACTTACTTCTTTACGTTTCGTTTCTGGACATTCCGATTGCAGAGTGAGGGTTGCACCTTCGATATTTCTCGGCATGGGCGTGGAACCAGGGTTTATTGTTAAATGAATCTGATCTGGTGAGATAATGTGTTGCACATAACCCTGCGACATTGCTTCATGATCTATTAGGTGAAAGCCCTCTTCACCCCCTACCAGAAAAGGCAAGTGTTCTCCACACTGTCCATCATCATCTTCATCCTCCAAAGTGCCAGGGTCCTGCTCAATAAGAACAGTTGTCCTATCATAAACAGTTCCAGATGAGGAAGGCACCAGTCCGTTTTTATCCACAAACCTGAGCATCTTGACTTCGGGGGTCAGCTCATCTTCCTCTGCCTCAAAGTAGATGATGTTGTTGTCTGGACTGTGTTCCCCCATGGTTCAATCGTGCTCAGCCCAATTGTGAGAAATGGAAAGGTAACGACCTGTCTGCAACAGAACAAAGCCAGCGTTAGAGCCATACCACAGGACCCAGGGAGATTCTCAACAACTACAGGGCTCCCTTTTCCTCTCATTTCAAGAGCAGGCCAAAGTAAATGATAAATCATCTTCCTTGGAAATAATTTTTTTTTTTTAACTTTGAAAGCTTCAAGTCATTCTAAAGGAAAAGCAATGCCTTTTTTTTAAAAAAATTGAAGTAATAAGTAGCAGTTCACAAGATCTTCCAAATGTGCCTTATTGCCAAATAATTTGAAGGTTGGTCAAAACACCTAAAGGGGATAAAGGGACAAACTGCTTCAAGGCAGAGTTCCTATAAATCTTCACTAAGGAAACCCGGCTCAAATATTGCCCAAGTCAGACCGTGAGGCAGCGCAGCCTACGGTGGAAGGAGCTGGGCTCTGAGGCAGGGTCGCCTACTTACAAATCCCAGCTTTGCCATTTACTACCTGGGTAACTTTTCTGTGCCTCATTTTTCTTAGGCATAAGGTGGGACTGGTAATTCCTGTTCTCTCAAAGTTGTTATGTGGAGTAAAAGAGATAATTATGTTAAAGCACAGCGTCTGACAATAGTAGAGGAAACAACTGTGCATTCATTCCCTCCTTAGAACAGATGTTTCAGCTTCTGGGTAGAAGGGCTGATCCCTAATCACGCATATCTAATGAAGATCACCTTATCTATTTATCTCCTAAAACAATCTGGTGTCCACCAGAAGCTATGCTTGTATAGTGTGCTCTCTGCAGTGAGGGAATGACAAGTCTTATTTTTGTTTCTACTGCCCCTAGCACAGTACACTGACACTTACTAGGAGTTCAGGAGATGTCAGCTAAATGAATGAAAGACCTGCAGATATGCTCTCTTAGGAGGATATGCTACCTTGGGAAAAATACCAAATTTGAAGCTTTCCTGTTCTAGAACAGTGATTCTTCCTTTACCTGCAAACACACAAGTTCTACAAATTCTTCTTTTACGTACAAACACACCGGTTTGGCAGGCAGAACAGAGAATTTAAAATAATCAGCACATCACTTTTAGTTTTCAGTCTGGCTTTGCACTTTATCTTTCTCTTTTGCTCTGGATTAGAAAGTGTACCTTGACGTAGAGGAGCGCCTAGACAGAGAGGTAGTTACCAGAAACAGGCCAAGGGATCAGATCCGGGAGGAACCGGCCCGACCCCTTGCTCTGGCTTACGCAACCCAGTAGATGCACATTTCGCTGCATCTGAGAGGACAGATAAGAGCACCGGGGGCCCCACTGGGCTGCCCCGGCACCATCGGCGGCAACGCGGAAACCAACTGTACGGAACAAACAAGACCAGGAGGTTTGAGGGTGGCAAACGAGGAGTACAAACGGAGCACCCTTGAGAACAGGCTGGGAAAAGGAACCTGTCTGCGAGAGCTCCCAGCCCGGGGCTACACGGAAAAACCCGAAGACAGGCTGGGGGGCTCCCAGCCGGACGAAGAGGGGCAGGGTCCGGGTCTCCATGGAAACAGGGGAGGGGGCTGGATACCCATCCCCATGGAAACGGAGGAGGGGTGGGGTCCCTATGGTGACCCGACTGGGGTCTCTACTGGGAAACGCTTCAGGAGGGAGCCTAAGTCCCGCGCCCCCCGGGAAGTCCCCAGCCCAGGCCGCGTCTAGTTTCGCCTTTTACCTCCGCGGCTCCCGGCAACGGCGGCAGCGGCAGCTTCTCCCCTCCCCAGCGGCACCATGATTGCCCCCACCTTCCCCGAACGTCACTTCCGCTTCCGCTTTCCGGAGGAAGCAGAGGCGACCGGCTCCGCCTCTCCCTGGCCCTCCTGGTTGGTTTGGGCGGTGTGGGGGCTGAGCTCGAGCCTCCAATGGGAGAGTGGGAGGGGCGGGGCGGGGCGGGGCTCCGCGGAGACCGCGCCCGGCTGAATTAGTCCCGCGCCGGGCAGCGCCTGCCGGGAGTCGGGGCGTCGCTCCCGCGGCACCAGACGCAAGGAGAGGGGACCGACCTCCAAACGCTAATCCAAAGTATCCTCAGCCCGGCTTGCACTGGCCGCCCTCCCCCCGGCAGCCACAACCGCAAGGGGAAGGACCACAGTTAGCCATCCGAATTCCAGCCCGGATCCGCAAAGGCAGAGCCTGGAAGGCTGTGACATTCCCGCATTTATCCCTGTGGCCCAGGGTCTCCTCATCAGCCATCAAAGTTAATGTGAGCCGGAGGGTCTAAGAAAGGAAGACTGGACCCAAATGTCAGAACTCAGGAGTACTCCGAGCCCAGCCAGAGGAGCCGCCGCCTTTTCCCCCTCTCAGATGCTCTCAAGATGTCCAGCTCCCTTCCTCCTCACACTCCTGCCTAGGCTGTCTGTCCCAACTTTTTCCCCCTGCGAATTGCAGGCTTCACGCGACTTGCGCCCGAGCCAGTCAACCTGGCCACCTACTGGCCATCCCTTTCTTTAACCTTTTACATTGTCATCCTACCGGCCCGTATCTAAGTCACATTTCACACTGCCAAGGACTAGTGGTGTTCCAGTGCCCAAGAAGCAGTTTTGCATGTACCTTCATTATGCTCCTGACTTTTCTGAGTACCTGTAAGATCCAGCTATTAGAAGCTCCCAGCAGCCACTGCTCGTTTTTCCCATTAGTATTTCTTTAGAATATTCAGAGTGGGACAACCCCCAGAGACTAGATCAGGGGTCAAGGGGATCAGGCCATGCCTGTGGCATCTCTTGCTTGAAAAATGTGAGTAGTGACTGTTACCACCAGACTGCCAGGCAAATATCTCTTTGGCCCCTGACCAGCTGCCCCTGTGCTTAAGCCACAAGGTCCAGCTGCTGAGAGTTGCCATCTCTTAAGAGAGAAAAACATACAAACAACCACTGTTAAAAATACATTTATCATTAAAATATATTACACGTATGAGAGAGGGAATGCATCATATAGAGTCTGGAGGATTTGCTGGCCCAAGAAGTCCCATTTGTTTCACCAGAACACCAATTTCTTCAGTGTTTTCATTTTCAAGCCACCGTATTGCCCTCAGAGGTTGAGTGGCTAGCCGCAGAGTTGCTGAGCCACATCTGAGTAGGAAGGGGGGTAGGGTTTTCATACGCATACACACACGTCCTCAGAGCGTTGGAAGCATCTGGGGTGGCTATGGCCTGTTTATCCAGCAGCTTCCACTTGCATTCTTGCTGTCCAACTCATTCTCCCTTCAGGACTCCAAAGTTTGTTCAAATATCTGATCCTGGGGAGCTCAGCCCAAGCTACAGGGAAGGCACTGACTATGCCCTGGAGGCAGGTTGAGTGAGCACAAGAAGTATAGTTATTTAAACATCTTTAAAAAAAAATAGAGACCTATCTGTGTTAACTAACTAAAGTTGAACATTGAATGTCAGTTTTATTGTGGTGGTTTTCCCCCCATGTCTTCACAACTCACAGCAGCACTGAGTGTGACAGCCATGGTGGGGAGGGCGGTCTGGGCTCAGGACACAGGCAGCTGCCACTCTTGCTTCTAAGTAGCCTCCCATCCTCTTAAGGCAGCTCTTGAGCTGAAACAGGTGAGGCTGGAAATTGGCTGCCTCAGGTAAAATAGGAGAGGAGATAGAGAGGCTCAGAGGGAGTTGCAGAGGAACTGGTGAATAAATTCTTGAGCCTTCTTCTTCTCTACCATTTCAAGCTTTTGGTGACCAGCTGGATTTCGAAGCAGTAAGCTGCCAAATATGCTAGCTGCATGAAAAACACAGAAAACAAATGATTCAGCAAAAGAAGTACTGCTTATCCTTGTGTTGTTAGGTGTCAAGAGGATACATGCTGCTTTATAAAAACTGTTTGAGAGTAAACTTTGCCCAGAGCTTGAGATTTTAGTTCTATGGCAGTGGACTTGGGACCTGCCTCAACCACATTTCTCCTAATGAGTCTCTCAGTTTGCAGAGATGCTTCCCACAGACACATGGCTGCTTACCTAGAATATTCTCATCCAAATGATTTTTTGCTGAATTTTTCAGCAGTACTTGCAAAAACGCCATTAAGTAGTTGAAGACATTTTTGTGGAATGTGGGGAGAGTAGAAATGACCTGAAAGAGAGAATTGGAATTTGTCTTTTTGTTCATTCAATCATTTGTCAAGTGCCTGCTATATTCCAGAAAGTGAACAAATGATCCAAGTACAACAGTAAGACTGTGCACAGAAAACCCTGATCACGTACCACTTGGCACAAGTGCCAAAAGAGAGGCACAGATCAAGCACTACATGGATTCAGATGTCAAACTTCTAACTGCATATTCTCAAAAGACTTAAGGGAATAGAAGACATTTTACTTGGGTCTTGAAACTAAGACAAGACTGGACTTGCAGAGGTAAGGATTAGAGTACTTAGGGCAAAAGAAAGTGTAAAAGAAAAAGGCAAGATAAGGAGAACAGTGAGATAAGGAGAGAGAACACCTTGTGAGAAGTCAGTTTTGGCAGGAGCACAACTGTTTGAACAGGCACTAAGCTTGGAAGGGTTGATGGGGCTAGAATTCAATGAGGCCTCCAGCTATCTGCATATCAGAATCAGTTGGGAAGCTTGTACAAACTATATTCCAAAAGAGATTGATTCAGTGGATGTGGGGTGAGGCTCTGGAACATGTATTATTAACAAATTTTCTAGATTATTCTGCTATGGCCTGTTGTGTGTGTGAATCACTAGGCTAGATCATAAAATGTCTTGACTATTTAAGAAAATCATTAATTGGCAATGGAGAGCCAAGTATGGTTTGTGACCAACAGTAACATGCTGAGAGCTTTAGAACACACAATCTGATGGCAGTATGCAAAACAAATTAGCAGAGGGAGAGCCTGAATGCAGGGCCTTGAACCAAGGTAAGTGGAACGAGAATGGAAGAAAGAGGATGGGTGACAGATTAAGGGGCCTGGGGATGTGGGAGGTGAGAAGAGGAGGAGTCAGAAACGACTCAGGTTTCTGGAGTGAGTCACTGGAATTAAGGGTGATGCCATTAAAAGAAAAAGGGACATGAGAGGAAGAACAGGTTTGGGAAGGAAAGACATGGAGTTGAATTTCTAAGACACTGCATTTTGAGGGATGGCACTCACTTTGTTCCCTCAGGCCCCACGAGGCCTGGGGCTGCAACATGTGTACGCTGATGCTCACTGCTTCCCCTCACCTGTTTACTTGCTGTGTAGTTGCCAGAACACTCCAAGCAGTTATGGTAGGCGCTGTAACAGATGACGGGCTCTGGTAGGCTCTCCAGGAAAAGCAGTAAGGCTTCAGCTACGGAATGATTGCTAGCGGCTTTTAGCCCATCGTTAAGGAACAGGGGATGCTGCTGCCCATGGTTAGGAAAAGGCTCAGGAGCAAGCATATGCCAGAAGTGCTACCTGCCCACTTGGGCTCTCAGCTCAGGGCTAGGATGCCAGCCTGACATCTTGAAGGGGCCAAGCTGTTTGTCAGCTTAGCCAGGCCCTCCTGAGTTCCTGCTATATTGGCTGCTTAAAGTTGTAAAGTCTTCTCTATGCAAACTTTAAGTAAGAAAAACATGATAGCTAAGAACACAATATCAGATTTTGAGCCTTAAAATATTGTTTGCTCCGGGGCCACCTCGGTGGTGTAGTGGTTAAGTTCGAATGCTCTACTTCCGGGGCCCGGGGTTTGCAGGTTCGGATCCCAGGTATGGACCTATACACCACTCATCAGCCATGCTGTGGTAGCATCCCACATACAAAATAGAGGAAGATTGGCACAGATGTTAGCTCAGCGACAATCTTCTTCACCAAAAAAATATATATATATATTATTCGCTCCTTTTTCTCACCTCTCCTACTCATATTCTCACACATGCACATGAATATCTGAAGGATACAGAGGGCGTCAATCATTCCGGTATCCAAACAGTCCCTGACATGCTCAAACTCCGACCTCAGACCTGGCTGCTGAAACAGATCTTCCTGCAGAAGGGAAGAAAGTCACAAAATAATTATATTCTCAGCAAATCAGCCATGATTTCCTGACCTGGAAATATAATCACCAGCAGAGTGCAAAAAGGAGCAGTGTGGAGAGGCCTGCGAATCCCTCTGGTAGACAAGCTGATTTAGGCTGACGGGGCTAATTCACCTTACAGGCCTCCCCAGGCAGGATCCCACAACAGGTCTTTAGAGTGATCTTGAAAAGGAGCTGTGTTTCCTGCAGTGTTATAGAGGAATTAACCAGAAAAAGAAAAACCTGAAGAAAATATATCATAAGATGGAGAAACAGACCTCAGTGGTTTGTGAAATCAAGATTATGGCAATAAAGGTACTTCCATTAGACTTAGGATATTTTATATTCATTTGTTTTATAAAACGACTTAATGCCATACAACTATGTTAATAATAATATGATACGTATTGCTCAGGGGCTGGCACGGTGGCGCAGCAGTTAAGTGCACGCACTCTGCTTTGGCGGCCCAGGGTTCGCAGGTTCAGATCCCGGGCGCGCACCGATGCACCCCTTGTCAGGCCATGCTGTGGCAGCATCTCATATAAAGTAAAGGAAGATGGGCACGGATGTTAGCCCAGGGCCAGTCTTCCTCAGCAAAAAGAAGAGGATTGGCATCGGATGTTAGCTCAGGGCTGATCTTCCTCACAAAAGAAAATATATATATATATGTATTGCTCAAAAGTTTCACATGAAAGGAGCTCTATAGAGAAAGTAGACTAGCAGAGTATTTAAGAATGTGACTTGTAAAACATAGGAAAAAATCTCCTTGACATTGGTCTTGGCAATGATTTTGTGGATATGACACCTAACGCACAAGCAACAAAATAAGGGGCCGGCCTGGTGGCGCAAGCGGTTAAGTGCGCGCGCTCCGCTGCGGCGGCCCGGGGTTCGCTGGTTCGGATCCCGGGCGTGCACCAATGCACTGCTTGGCAAGCCATGCTGTGGCGGCGTCCCATATAAAGTGGAGGAAGATGGGCACAGATGTTAGCCCAGGGCCGTCTTCCTCAGCAAAAAAAGAGGAGGATTGGCGGATGTTAGCACAGGGCTGATCTCCTCACAAAAAAAAAAAATAAATAAAAAAATAAAAAATAAACAAGTGGGACTACATCAAACTAAAAAGCTTCTGCACAGCAAAAGAATCAATCAGCAAAATGGTAAGACAACCTATGGAATGGGAAAAAATATTTGCAAACCATATATCTGATAAGGGGTTAATATCCAAAATATATAAAGAACTCATACAATTCAATAGCAAAAAAAAAACACCACAAATAATCCAATTAAAAAATGGGCAAGGGCCGGCCCGTGGCTTAGCAGTTAAGTGCGCGCACTCCGCTACTGGCAGCCCAGGTTCGGATCCTGGGTGCACACCGATGCACCCCTTCTCTGGCCATGCTGAGGCCGTGTCCCACATACAGCAACTAGAAGGATGTGCAACTATGACATACAACTATCTACTGGGGCTTTGGGGGGAACAAAAAAAAAAGGAGGATTGGCAATAGATGTTAGCTCAGAGCCGGTCTTCCTCAGCAAAAAGAGGAGGATTAGCATGGATGTTAGCTCAGGGTTGATCTGCCTCACAAAAAAAAAAAAGAAAAGAAAAGAAAAAATGGGCAAAAGACCCAAATAGACATTTTTCCAAAGAAATTCAAGTGACCAACAGGTACATGAAAAGATGCTCAACATCACTAATCATTAGGGAAACGCAAATCAAAACCACAATGAGATATCACCTCTCACCTGTCAGAATGGCCATCATCAAAAAGACAAGAGATAACAAATGCTGGCAAGGATATGGAGAAAAAGGAACACTTGTGCACTGTTGGTGGGAATGTAAATTGGTGTAGCCACTATGGAAAACAGTACGGAGGTTCCTCAAAATATTGAAAATAGAACTACTATATGATCCAGCAATTCTACTTCTGGGAATATATCCAAAATATATTCCAAACGAAATGAAAACATTAACTCGAAAAGATATCTGCACCCCCACGTGCATAGTAGCATTATTTGCAATAGCCCAGACATGGAAACAACCAGAGTGTCCACCGACGGATGAATGGATAAAGAAGTTGTGGTAGATATATACAATGGACTATTATTCAGTCATAAAAATCAAGGAAATCCTGTCATTTGTGACATGGATGGACCTTGAGGGCATTATGCTAAGTGGAATAAGTCAAACAGAGAAAGACAAATACTGTATGATCTCACATATCCATGAAATCTAAAAAAACCAAAACACAAACTCATAGAAAAAGAGATCAGATTTTGGTTACCAGAGATGGAGGGTGCGGGGAGGTGGGAATTGGAGGAAGGTGGTCAAAAGGTACAAACTTCCAGTTATAAGATAAATAAGTCCTAGAAATGTAATGTACATGATGACTATAGTTAACACTGCTGTATGATATATGTGAAAGTTATTAAGAGAGTAGATTCTAGGGTTTATCACAAGGAAAAACAATTTTTTGTTTCTTTTTTTACTTTTTCTTTTTATTGTATCTATATGAGATGATGGATGCTAACAAACTTACTGTGGTAATCATTTCACAATATATGCAAGTCAAACCATTATGCTGTACACCTTAAACCTATACAGCGATGTATGTCAATTATATCTCAGCAAAAATGGGGAAAAAAATAAATAAAAAGCAGGGAAAAAAAAAAAAAAAAAAAAGAATGTGACTTCTATAGCCAGACTCTCTGAGTTCATTCAGACTCTCTGCCTGTTTATCAGCTTTGGGACCTTGACCAAATTCTTTAACCTTTCTGGGCATCTGTTTCCTCATGTGAGAGCTGTGGTGAGAACTAAATAAGGCAACGCTATAAAACCTTTAGAATAGTGTCTGGTACATTGTAACACTCAATAAATGAGAGGGAAAAAAACGGAAAAGAGAATATGGAAAGAATGTAAGTGGCGGTAGATATAGTTTGTATCAGTCTCCCTGGGACCTCTATAAATGAGTCGGTGAAACTGACTAATAACTCAATCCCAGAAAACTTGCCCAACTCACTCCAGAATTCCCCTGCCTCTGTCTGGCTTGTCAACAAGTGAGCCCCTCCCATTCCCAGAAGCTGGAGAGAATTCCCAAAAAGGAGAGCAGGCTGACATCCCGAGAAGTCTCCAGATGACTTTCTACCTGGGACCCCAGAGGCCAGGGGAGGGAACATGCTGTGCTGGGAAGGCCATTCTGTGCAAGGCTGCTTCCCCTGGGGGTAATCAAGTGCTGTATGTAACAGCAGGGTCTCTCAGGGGTGTGAAACATGAACCTATCTATCCCTCATTCACTCCCTGGGGGAAGAACAGCTTTCCACAGCTTCCTTAAGGTAAAAGCTTTGTAGGCCAGAAGTTCTCGGGGCTGATGCTCTTTCTCAGGGCAGCCTGGCCTCAGTCAGGTCTGACTACTTCACCACCACCTACCTGCTGGACAGCATTTCGGTACAGGTAGTCAACCATCATCCAGAGCTCTTTGGGGATTTCCATGGGGTTCTCTAACTGGCTCCCATCATCTTCAGTCCATAGTGGCCTCAGAGTCTAAAGAGAAATAAAAAGCCTGATAAGAAAGCCCACCAACAGAACTTCTGCCAGCTGGCTTCAGGAGAATGCATGATACAGGGACAGCAAATCCATAGAAGAAAGGAAGCATTTCAGTGCCCCTATGTAAACATTCCACAGGCAAAAATGAAATCAGGTGGCGCAATTAAGGTACAAAAGGAGATTTTTGAGAATTGGGAGTGGGTTATGGCAAGCAGTTTCAATGAATCGGGTGAAATATGCACCATCTTCTTAGAAAAAACATCCTGCCTACAGCACTTCACTGTCAGAACCAGAGACAGTGTGGTCTGGGGGAAAAAGAGCCCAGACATGGGAGTCCAAAAATCTGAGTGCAAGGTCCGGGCCCACTGTTAATTCGCGATGTGACCTGGGACAAATCAGTCTCCCTATGGGGCCTCTGTTTTCATCTATATAATGGAGACGATAGAGTTCAGGAGTCCCTAAATAAAAAAACAACGCATTGGAGGGGGGGAAAAAAACATACATATTACCATAAATCTGCTCCAAACTAGTTCCCTTGTATTAGAATTGTCGCCATAGGAGCCTTTGAGATCTCAAAAAATTTAGTTTAGTATGATAAACCACCAAGTGATGACTAAAACAAAAAAAGGAAAAATATCATGGGCCAGGGAACCTTCATATCTTAGTATCCACAGCTGAGTTTCTCTAATATAGTATGTATGAAACACTGAAAAATACTTCCACAACATTTTGCAGCTCTTCCCAACAAGAGGTGGAGTCCTTCCCTGCCCTTGGAATCTAGGCTGGCTTCACAACTTGCCGCCATCTGATTGCAACCACACCAATGAGCTTGTGCAAGACCAGCAGAAGAGCCACACTGGAAACTCAGAGAGTCATGAGAAGCAACAACTCGTTTTAAACCACCAAAATTTCTGGGTAGTTTGTTACACAGCAATATATAACTGACAGAGTAAGCAAGTTCTAAGGAGGCTGAAGAATTCTCAGGTCCCTAGGAAGGTAAGCACAGGAATATCTTGTTTGACTGGCGCGGCTGCTACACAGTTCTAGATGTTTCCTTGTGGCACATGACTCACCAGCTCTCTAACAGTTTCAAGCGGCAGGTCCAAGATTGGCTCCTTCATGTAGCACAACGTATGAATGGGAGATCCGAAACAGCTGGGCACGTAGTTCCCAGACACAGACAAAAAATAATCCTTTCCCCTGTCCAAGTGCAAAACCAGAATGTCCTCAATTTTGTCTTCGTTCGAGTTGAGCTTTGTAGCGGTGGTCTTATTTACAAATAGCTCCAATTCAATCTCAATGGTAGAACCTGAAGAAAAATTTTAAAAGTAATGTTGGTTGGCGGGAGACCAAAAGGAAAAGGGGAAAGAAGATAGGAGGGAAGAGGGTCAGGCATAAACAGTTAGGGCAAGGAAATAAGAGCAATCAGCCAACCAACAAGTATTTATGTATGCGCTTGGCACTCAGGAGACACAGGAACAAGGAGTGTATGGTCCTATGGGAATATGAAAAAAAAAAAAAAAAACGTGAATAGGCAACTGCTATAAAATTCAAGTTCTAAGTAGCAGAGCTCGAGCTAGAAATTATTAATACAGTAAGAAGGCATGGATCAAAGAGCTTGCCCTGAGCTGGGTCAGATGAAGAAAACCTGATCTAGTAGAAAATATAAAGCAAGTATCAGCCTGTGCTTTGTCCACAAAATGGGCTTAATCCCTCTGCCTCACAGGACCACACAGAGTGTAAAGGAAAAGTCAGGGGCACGACACAGAGGGAACATTCCAGGGCCAGATATAACTTTTGGATTACCGCCCATTATTTTTCCCCACAAGAGCAGAGAGTTGGGAGTTGATGACAGTGAGGCAGACAGTGAAAATGCTTCCTTCAACAGCAGCAGCTGCTTCCCAGCAATCTTACGTTTTCTCTTTCTGTGAAATTACGGCACATATACATGACTGAGAACGCTTTTGAAACTGAACTCATGCTCCTTGCTATTTTATATTTTATTTGTGGATGGTTCATCCACAGGGCTTTTAAAAAGTTACAAGTAGACAACAAAACTCTCAGAAACAAAAAGTTTATTTTAGGAAAATGAGCAGACAGGATGAAGTGTCCCCCAAACCAGCAAGCAGGAACCTGGGAGGAGAGGCCGTACCTGGCAAGAGGAAGCCTCTGCTGGGGTTGGCATTCAGCCACTGCTTACAGTAAGACTTCTCATCAGGCTTGTTGATGAATTCAAACCGACAGGGGACTTGTCCATTATGAATTGTAAAGGATTCTACTTGCAACTGCATGTACTTCACATTCTGAAAACAGAACTGGAAACAAGCCCAGGACCAGTCAGACCAGCGCCCTCTTCTCGGCAACCTGCCCAGCCACCCCAAATGAGCAATCCTTGCCCTTTCTGAAAAGAAAATGAAGGATCGCCTCTTTCAAATCATGTTTCTGCTTTAAGTATTTACCTGGGAGGCCACAGCTACCACTAATGACCAGTTGTCCGTGTTTAACCCAGAAATTCAAAAACCCAAGGAACTCATGTTTTATAAATAAATTTTCCAAAGGAATCCAAGTTTAAGTCTTCTATAACCAAAGACCATTTCCAAAACACAAATGGTCTTCACAAATTCCATCCCCAAACATCAAGACTAAGCTCATCCTTCCACATAGCGGGACATCTAGGGCATTAAAAATACCCTCACCATAAATTCCCATTTGATTGACTTCTTGGTATTGTCAATTCTGAATAATCTATGCTGTGGCTCTTCCATAAAAAATCTTTAGCCCTAACTTGACTTCTCCCACTGCCCATCGCTTTTCTATACTGCCTTCCCTTCCATCAACTCATACATACCCAGGAAATTAAGACTCAGTTTAATCTCAGTCAAAGCAAAGCATTGTTCCAAGACAAACCCATTGTAAGAATATATACCAGTCATACTAAAATCAAACACAACACATTTTGGATTGTCTACGCCATTATTTAGCTCATGGATGGCCCATATTTGGGTGAAATATATGAGCCACAAAAGGTTAAAGGCTTCTGGTTTAGAAGATCAGGAGATGAACATAATCTAAACCAATAACCCCTCTCTTCTCAGCTAGCATTATCAGCCTCACTTTATTTACAAGCAGCCTAACAAGAGACTAGAGTCCAGTAGGCGGATAGGTGTCTCCTGGAATTCTGAGCCCTAGCAGATGAGATTTAAGTTCTGTGAACAGAAGAGCCTGACGCCAAGATTCTTAACATGCCCTTCCTACCTCTCGCTTGGAGAGAGACACAGAAGGAATGTTGGCGTTTTCCATCTTATCCAGGGAGCGAACAATCTGCTCCAGAGTCTTCCGGTAAAGCTCTTCATTTCTGACCCTCACCTGGAAGGGAAACATCAGAGCCTGAGTGCCTTGGCTTCTGCCCATTTCCTCTTTTTCAGTCTTGCAGACATTCACAGCATTGGGAAATAGCAATTGACAGCAACACAGAAAGTGAAGACTAAACAAATTTAATTAATTAACGAAGAACCCAATTAACATTAGCACTACAAGGGTCCCCCAGAGGCAAAGCCTGTGGTAAGTGAGATGCTTCCTGATCAGCAGAAAGAAGACGTGGGAGTGAAGCCTGATTAGCAGTTCTGCCAGGTCTCAGGCCCAGGGCGGGAGATGCTCTACCTTGCTGGCTGCTGCCAACAGGCCTGCAGGTAGAAACTTCCCCAGGGCTTTGATTTGAAGCAGCATTTCTCAAGCTTTTTTAACCTGTGCTCCATCAGCCAAGGAGATTTTGTCAGGCTTTCTCTTCCGTATTTTGAATTATAAACACAATTTCTGTCATTTTCCAATAATAAAACTTTAATTATAACATTCACTAGGCTTTTTTCAAACTACCCACACCCTCATAGATTCTGATATGCCTCTACCTGCACCCTTGAGAACCAGTAATATAAGAAACACAGAAGTAACTGAAGAAGAGATACAAACAAACAATAAACAAATGAAGAGGTGTTCAACCTCACTAGCAGTCAGGGAAATGGAATCTAAAATAATGAAATATCATTGCATTGGCAGAAATTTAAAAGATTGATAACATTCAATATTAGCCAGGGTGTGGGAAAATAGGCTCATACATGGTTGGTAGAAGTGTAAAAAGGTAAGGACTGGTGGGAGAATAATTTAGCAGGATCTAATAAATTTAGAATACATTTTTCTTTGAACCACTAATTTCACCTCTAGGAATTTCATTCTATAGTAATACTCACACCGGTACACAAAGATATATGTGAAGGGTGGTCACTACAGCACTGCATATAATGGCAAAACTTTGGAACCAACTTAAATGACCATTGATATATACATTATGGTTCATCTATACTATGGAATATTTTGCAGCCTTTAAAAATAATGAGGCGGGAGCTCTACCTTTACTGACATGGAAAGATCTCCTAAGACACAGTCAGTGGGGAAAAAAAAGATGTTCTCAGAACAATATGCACAATATGATCTCTTTTACAAAAAAAGAAAAATATCCTCTATGCATAGAAATGCATTTGTAAATGCATAGAAAAAGGCCTGGAAACATACAGTACAAAAAGCAAAGGCGAACTTCCATGTATGTAGAAATAGATAATAGAAATATACCAAAACAATTTTTTTTTTTTTGTGAGGAAGATCAGCCCTGAGCTAGCATCCATGCTAATCCTCCTCTTTTTGCTGAGGAAGACCGGCTCTGAGCTAACATCTATTGCCAATCCTCCTCTTTTTTTTTCTTCCCCAAAGCCCCTGTAGATAGTTGTACGTCATAGCTGCACATCCTTCTAGTTGCTGTACGTGGGACGTGGCCTCAGCATGGCCGGACAAGCGGTGCGTCGGTGCGTGCCCGGGATCTGAACCCGGGCCACCAGTAGCAGAGCGCACGCACTTAACCGCTAAGCCACCGGGCCGGCCCCAAAAACAATTTTGAATTAAATTGAAATTAAAACAATTTTTAAAAGGAGCTTCCTCATAATCAAGGCAGTAGGAGGAGATCAGAAAGAGAAAGTGGTCTTGTTGTGAGAACCAGTTCCCTACAGAAATGACTACAACAGGCACCAGCTGCCCACCTACCCCAATGTCAAACACTGAGCTGACAGGCTTGTGGTCACTGGTCTTCAAGGCCATGTGGCTCTGGTAAGTCAGCTGAGTGATGTTCTTCCCTTTCCAGAGGATCCGGTCACACCAGGCAGGAGCACGACACTTCTCACTGAAATGCAAAGTCCATACTGGGGGCTCTCACAGGCATAGCAGCACCCACTGCCTGGCTAGCACCGTGGCTAAGCTGGGAATGACAGGGCAGAGCCTTCGAGCCCACGCGGCCCAGTGATCTGAGAGGGCAGGAGCGACCAGGGCCCACCAAGGGATACCATGTGTCCCCTGGGTATCATCCAAATCAACTGTGAAAGCTCGGAGCCAAAGCACTATTCAGAAGGACTCTCTGCACTTTACTCTCCCACAGGGATCAGGTGAGAGTCAGAAAGGCAATCTGAGAGTAAGCTCGATGGTCCTCAAAAGGTGGTGGTTAAAACAGGCTTTGAATTCCTGCTGCCTGGGTTCAAATCCTGGCTCTACACTTGCCTCCTTGGGAGGCTCTTTAATTTTTCTATGCCTCGGTTCCCTGGCATACCGTAAGCACTAATAAAAAATATGAACTACTATGTAATGACCAAGTACAAGCTAAGTTAGTTGGAATCATCTTATCACCCTAAGCATAGCTGAAACGTAAATCAGCCTCAAGAACTATTACAGAACAAAGGCTAAGGCAGTCAAAAAGAAAACATGTAGGAAGGCAGGCTGCTTCTTGAGCAGACACAGAGAGAAAACGTTTGACCAGAGTGCAAAATATGGGGAGGAAGACACAGGAAACCTATCTTCTTCTTTAGGTCCATGAGGGCAAGTGTTTCCTTAAATTTCTGGGTTTCCATTTGCTCAATCCCCTGAAGCAACCTCTGACCTACCTGGTATCCCAGTCGTCAGAGCCAGCATCATACTTATAGGTAGGCTGGAACGTCAGCTCACCCTCTGTGAAGCCTTCAAAGACAGCCTTTGCAGCCACCTGAGTTTTCAGCTATACAAAAGGATGAAAAAAAAAATCTCAGAATAAAAAAAAGTCAAACCTTGAACTAGCAGAGGAAAGGAAATAAATCTGGAATCTGAACCCTAACCCAAAGGGAAAGGCCCATGAGAAAGCTATTCTGCAAGATCTTACTTAACTAACTCCCAGGAAGAAGAGCAAGCTGACCATTCCTTCAGCTACTGTACTGTTTTTAAGGCTCTTTTAGAAGAGTGTACCTGCATCCAAGGGGCCTGAGTACCATCCTACTGAGATGTCCCTAAGAGGCTTAGGTGCCAACAGACATAGACTTTTTCCCTTCTAGGTATCAAACACTTCATCTGTGTAGTACAGGTTGTTCCAGTTACACAGAGAGAGAACACTGCATAAAAAGATACAGCCCAAAAAGCAAAGGGGAACTTCCATGTATGCAGAAATGTAAAGTAGAAGTATACCAAAACAATTATGAATCAAATTTAAATTAAAACAATTTTTAAAAGGAGTTTGGCAAATTAGTTACATGAACTGGGGGAGGCTCTGTGCCTTGGTTTCCCCATCTGTAAATTTTGGATTTAATAGAATATGCCTCAGAGGATTGTTGGCAAGATGAACTGTCAACTTAGAACAGTGCCTGACACATTATGATAACAGCTAGCCTTCTTCCTACTGCACTGATTCTAGGAGCTCCTTCCAGATCACACTCTCAGTGAGAGATAAAAACCACAGGTGTTCCTGCCTGCTCCCTGGAGCACAAAGCTTGGCACTGCGGGACTGGTGAAGAACTGTCAACTCTAACGTTGGAGATAGGGTCAGCTATCCAGGGGACAACAGTTGCCAAATTCCCCAAAATATGAATTCCTAAAAAAACTACTAAGGAAAAATAAACATTTATACAACAGGAAATAACAAAAATTCAGGTATTAATGTAAGATAATTCTTCAATATGGGTATACATAGATTTTAGAACCACCTGGAAAGCAGAGAACACACAAAAGGGGACTATCACTTAAGGAAAGAGCAGAAAAGAGGGCAAGAGGAGATGGGCATTAAACTACCAGGGCAATTAGAACGCCTCAGTCCAGAACACAGAGGCAGTGAACAGGTAGTTACAGAATAGCCTGGGTTGGGCTGGCCCCGTGGCTTAGCGGTTAAGTGCACACGCTCCGCTGCTGGCGGCCCGAGGTTCAGACCCTGGGCGCGCACCGACGCATCGCTTCTCCGCCCATGCTGAGGCCGCGTCCCACATACAGCAACTAGAAGGATGTACAGGTATGACATACAACTATCTACTGGGGCTTTGGGGAAAAAAATAAAAAAGAATAGCCTGGGTTAATGTTGAAATCAGAAGTAAAAGAGAATAAAAGTAATTTACCAAGGAAAAGAGCTGGAGAGAAAAGTGAGTGAATACAGAGATTCTTCAATAAAGAAAGACATAAAGTTTAGATTTTTTTTCTTCAATTGTTCTGCACTGGTGGAAAAACGTAACAGAAAGATTTAGACTAACGACAATAGGAAGGATATTAAAAGGGAGATACAGGCTAAAAAGAAAAAGAACTTGAACTTCTGAACAATTCTGACCACTTGGATAGTTGCGAAATCTACTGAAAAGGAGTAACCTGAAGAAAGTCAGAGAAACAGATTTCTCTCGTCCTGTAAACGGCTCATGCTCTGAGAAAGAAATGCTAACCCAAACAACAGTGGAGAAGAGCAGGTTACAGAACTGATTCCTGTCAGCAGTGAAGAAAGCCACTCATGGAAAAGAGTTGTCATTTACACTGGACAAGTCTGGTGAGGAGGAAGAGGAAGGAGCTGGAGAGGCTCATTCAGAAAAATTAGTAAATTATGTTAAATACATCAATACATTGAGTGAATGGATGAATGGATGAGCACAGGAGAGAGAGAGACAAAACACTCTTGCTCCCAAGGGAGACAGGCACCTCAAGGGACGAGCCAATGGGAAGACAGCTATGGACGAGGGAAATACAGATGAAAGGAAGAAATGACTGGAAACCTCCAGCCAAACCTCAGGGAAACTTCCCAAGCTGAGGAAGAAGAGGTTGCGAGTTGGGAAGCCAGGCTTTTCTGTGCCTCACAGTGAGGTGACAGCTGCCTGAAGAGGGCACAGGTGGCCATCTGTACCTGATCATATGCATACAGGGTTTGAAAGGCCTTCTCTTCGATGAGCTTTTTCACTTTTTCCACATCCAGCTCTTCTATCCTGTAGTTGAGGTCCCCCAGCCACAAGATTACACTGTGAGGACAGAGCACAAAGGTCACAGGGTTTAGGAGGGACTCTACCATTCTATCCAGTGTGCTTCTGACAGAAGGCCCCTGAGGCTCAGCCTCTTGGGAGTTGGGTGGGGAAGTGACTCAGCAGTTCAGGAAACCTTTTTCTCTTGCCATCCCATTTAAAACCATGTCTAACGTGCTGCTTACTCAATTATCTTGGTCCAAGTTCATTATAAACAGTCTTGAGTTCTCCTTGACTATTTTATTCTTGTATGGTTGAAAAGATAGTCTAATAAGATCTAAAATCAAGATAATAAATTACCTCACTCCTGGGAAGAGGCAAAAAAGACCAAGTATTGAGAGTCATGTCAATCACTCAGGGACCCCAAACCAGATGATGCCCCGATGTCGCCTCTGCCTCCAGGCACACTCCAGTCCACGAAATACACTCTCAGCCTTTGTTTCTAGAGCTGAGTTCCTCTGAAACAAAGCTCGACCTTTACAGCGGAGTCTGGGTTTAACCACCACTGTGTCACCATTTGGCTCTTTTTGCAGAGTGTGGCAGGTGTTTTATTACACCTGCTGCTTTGGGAAACAGATAACTGAATGCTCCCAGATGACACTGCACACCCCATAAGTGCCAATACTGCTCTATCCGAAACCAACAAGCAGGTCATTAGAGAATCTGCACAGCCGTATACACACACCAAAAGAAATGCATCCACGAGCTAAAAGCAGACAAACTGACATGCAAGCTGCAACCTCACACACTAGGATGCTGCAGTTCAGCAGAATGGAAGACACACTCCCTGCTGGGCTCCCTGGCGAAGGAAAGCCATTCTGTCAGCTTCCAGAACACCTGTGAGCTCAAGACAGTTCCACCACTGCAGCGGCAGGATGAGAGGCTTGACCCTGTGTCCTCCCTGGAGGATGCCATGGCCCCAGGGGCTTCTTCCTCTTTATAAAAGAAGTGGCACAAGCTTCAAGTGTTACTGTAAATCTGAAATTCTAATATGCCTTGAATTTAGACATATAGAAAGTCTTAGAGACAAACGAAATAAAGAGAATAGACAAAAATTAGCACAAGATGCTCCAAGCAGCTGCAACTATAGCTTTGCAAAGTTGAATCAAGAGGTATAAAAGACTACATGACGGCAGACAAATGTGGTCCAACTCTCAATTACATAAGCTTCTGGAAAGGACAGACATATAAAATCCTAAACCATACTTCTAAAACCTGGGTGTGAGATCTCGCTCTTTGGTTGCTTTCCTCATGATGATGTATCAAGGCAGACCCATAATAAAATAAATCTTATACATTTTCCAGGGACAAATGATGTTTGAGAAAGATTCTAGAGGTCTGCCAGATGGTAAGTAAGGACACTAAACATTTCCGAGGGACATAATCCACGTGGAACTGAGAGCTGCTGGAGGTCCCACTCCAGCCGTGGGAAGCCTCCCCTAGTCACCTCCCTAACAAAATAGAGACCTACAACTTTGCCCATCAGGCGTGGTGAACTGCATGGGGTGGAAGCCCAGACTCACTCGTGCTTGCTGATGGTCAGAGGGGGAAGGCCTGGGTCAACCTGATAAAACTGCATTCGAGAACAAATGTCTTTATAGTCCTGGTTCCTCCTCTCATACTCTTCCGTGTGGGCTGCCAAGTGAGAATTCACAACGCAGATGCTGGTATTGTGGAACTGGAACCTGATCGCCACTCCTCCTTTGTTACCCTATGAAAAGGAGCCCAGAAAAATCCATTTCACATCTTAACTGTGTTAGTCATTTAAACCTGCACGCTTTCCAAATGTTTTCCCTTAAATAGTCTTCATAATCACCCTGTGAGGTCAGCAAAGTAGCATATTGTCTGTATTTCACAGGTAAGAAAACAAACCCAAGAAGGCAGAATGACTGGCCAGTCAGTGGCAAAGCTGAGTCCACTTTTCACTAAATCACAGGCAAACCACATGCTCACCCTTCTCCACGGGAAGCTAAGCTCTTGCAGCAGAACCTAGAAGCAGGACTCTAATAGTCTCGGGAAGAAGAGGAAACTGCAAACCTATTATCAGCATTCTTTCTTTTCCTTGGTGACCCAATAGTTTCTGCAACATATTTCATGGATTAAACGGGAGGACCAACTAGAGGCTCTGGAGTAGAGTGAACACAGGGGTATGATTTGTCAGTTGGGCAAATCAGCTGCAATTCACCAAAATACGATTTCTAAATGGCCTGTTCAATCAGCCCTGCTTAAGGGTACCATTCATCTTGTAATACCAGCACCCTCAAACTGGGATGCGTGCAGTCACAGTATCATGAGAAGCGGGGTCAAACCTGCTTAAGGATCAAGGCCCTCAGTGTCCCAAACACACCAACCAAGAACTCACCATCCTGCCCATGATTCCTGTCCCCACGCTCTCAGCTTCCACTTCTGAGATGTGCTCTGCGTGTTCCTGTCTGACATATAATAGCAGCATAATCCCAACTAGTCGGATGAGCTTTATCTGGAAAACAGAGCCCAATGTTCAAGCCATGGCATTAAACAGAAGTTGAAAACAGGAATAAATATCCCAAAGGAAAAGTGGTTCGAAGCTGGCTGAGAGTACAACTGTATCTCCTTCTCTACCTTACTAGGACACGAGGTAATCACTTGTTCCACTCACTGAGCATGCTACGTGATAACCAAACAGCCCTACAAGTGCAAGACCTGCAGCTTTCCCACCCAGAGGTGCCTCTTCTGGAGGATCTGGAACTGAAAATCGCAGGACCATTAGGACTGGCCTATGATAAAGGTCACAGAAACAGTGAAAAATTGCCTTAGAATTTCCCTGCATGGCAACATAAAATTAAAAGGTCCCTGACTCTTCTCTTACCTTTGCATACTTGGCATCTGGATGAAGACAATCTGATACAGCTTTGAACCACTCTTCCTCCTTTGGTGTATCTTGGAAGAAAAAGGCTTCCTTACTCAGATCAAGCTCCTGGAACCTATCAGGAGAAGCAACCAGTTAGCGAGTAGGGAAAGGTAACATGCAAGATGACATGTTCTCAGATTGGTTTAGGTACATAAATCCTAGCTTTCTAGCTAAACTGCAGGACTCTCAGGAGGGAAGAAAAATACACACTTAGTTCCAAGGAACTAAATGCCCAAGACCTGAAGCGGCAGCCCATCTCCTCTTCATAACCAGCCTGTGAAGAAGCTGGAAGTGGCCCCCTTCTACATGTGAGATCACTAGTTCACACAAGCACAAAGTGGCAAACAGGTTCAAACCTATGTCTATATAAATTCCAAATTCTAGGCCCTTTCCACTTCACCATACAGGCCTCTTTGTTGCCTCCTCTCCACCAATAGTGCCTAGTGCAATGGGTGAGAAGACAGTAAGTGTGAAAAAAAATGACTCATTGATGGGGCTTTTTTTTCCTTAAGCTAACCTTCCTTCTCTGATATTTTTGCTTTGTGACCAACAAAGTATTGAATTTCATCGAAGTAATAAAATTCAGTTCAAGGTGCAGTGATGTTAACAGTGAGTTGCACTAAAAATTAAATATTAGCATTTAAATGCCAAGCACATCACTTCAACAGTATCAGAAATTTAGTTTTAATTTAATTTAAAATAGTGCCAGAACATCAAACAGGGAAGCAGCAGTTATTAAGCACATGCTCATTTTTCAATTCCTTCACCTGATGTCAAGACTCAGTTACGTATTCATGCCCCCCTCCCTTCAACCACAGCCATACATCTTGAGGATGCAGAGGCAACTAGAAAAGAAGCACTCACCCGACACAGTATACATCTGGGGCCTGGATACCATGGCTCAGCCAGGGCTTGAGGCATTCTTTGGGGGACTGTCCATTTACATTGTAGGTTCCCACAAAAAACCTGTCACCAAAGAGAATTGATCAGTCACTCAGGAGGACTATGGAAATGACAAGGAAAAGAATTTTATGCTGATTTTGCCTGGTTTCAGTCTCTCTGGAGTGGAACTTTAAGACATAAGAACTGTCAGATCTAACCTAGACCAATGACTGTGGCACCAAGGGGTGATTTGCAGTCTCCCATGATATTCGTGGCTTTTGTGATAATTTCAAACAGTATAGGCCTACTCTAAACATTCCTATTTAGCTTTAATGGCCATTAGAGAGCCATAATCCGCAAGATGATTCTTTACTGTATATGCTACTGAAACGAAAAAAAAAATGAAAAGTACCTTGGTAATTACTTCCAGAAAGAAAGCAATACCAGTGTTCAAAAGGCTATTTTTTCACCATAATTCATTGTTCATATCCCTAGAAGCTATGTTACTTTGCCTTATAGCCCCAATGCAATGATATAAAAAGATGTGGCAGAATCCTGCACCCTTTATTCATTTCACTTTCAGTAATCCTGTCTAAAAAGATTACCAAACACTAACTTCATTTTACTAACTTCAATTTAAATGTCTTTCTTCAAAGGCCCAGAATCACCAAGGGATACACAGAGAGATAGGCGAAAATCAGGGTATTGCTCCTTCTGTACCCGTATATCTTTTCAAATATTTCTCTAACTATTTGCAAGTTGTCTCACTCCCACTATCTCACGCCTGCCTGGCCAGAAAAGCCCCAGAATAAAAGCCTGCTAATGAAGAGGGAAATGAATTTTCATTTAGAAGATGATGGGAGAGATTCTGTAGAAGGATTTACTTCTAAATCCAGGGTATGGGGGTGAAGTGGGGGGAAGCTTAAATTTCAGACAGCTGAATGATCATTTTGCTGTGAAAACAGTCTAAGACCCAGTTAGCTACCTGAAGTTCTGGATATAAGTATAATCCTCTTCTCTCTGTACTAGCTCTGATTTCACCATTGTGTCTCGCAGTCCAAACTTCTGCATCGATAAAATATGAGCCTTGTCTGATACTGTGATTGTGGAGGAGCGAACCATGTCAGTAATTTCAGACTTGGATTTATTCTGTCTAGAAAAAAAAAATTTTTTTATCATATTTTGATGAGCCCTCCATGACAAAATACATGAATATAAAGGTAGAAGTTTCCACATACAAGCATCTGAGTCACAGAAGATTAAAGGAGGCCAAAGTAAAACCAGTTTGCTAAAACAACATTATCTCTATATGGAATTAAATAAACTTATATGTTGTTGATTGTATAATATATTGGTCCAGAGATTTTCCGATAATAGATTCAAAGAATCTCAGATCAGAAGCGGACCTAGAAGATTATCTAATCCAATCCCCTCATTTTTCAAATGAGAAAAATGAGACCGAGCATCATCAGTGATTCACCCAGTTGGATGAAGGCAGAGTATGGATGGATAAGAACTCAGATTGGACAGTGCTCTTTCTGGACCCTAGTGTCTCATATAACAAGACTATAAAACTATCCAGCTCCTTTGACTTGATCATTCTACTGTATTCCACAGGAATAATCTAAAATAAAAAGAAAGGCAGTGAAAATTTGTATTTTATGATTGTTTGTGTCAATAGTCATACTAACAAGTATTCAAATGCCAACATTTAAAGTTAAGCAAAGTTTGACATATTTACCTAACAGAATCTTAATAATGGCTCAAGAAGCTTTCATCAAAGATTAGTTAATGAATTAAGATATATAAGCACTTGAAACAATTTCTGACGCTGAATAAATGCCACATAAGTTTGATATTACTATTGTCATGTACATACCAATTAAGGCTATGTAAAAGCATCTATGTATACCAAGAAGGCTCAAAAGTGAATTGAGAATGACAGATCCAGCTACATTTAAAGTTCAGGGGGGCCAGCCCTGGTGGCCTAGTGCTTAAGTTCAGCGCAATCCACTTCCGCAGCCCGGGTTCGGTTCCCAGGGGCGAACCTACACCACTCATCTGTCAGTGGCCATGATGTGCTGGCAGCTCACATTAAAAAAAAAAAAAACAGAGGAAGACTAACAACAGATATTAGTTCAGGGTGAATCTTCCTCAACAAAAAAAATATGTATATAAAAATTAAGTTCAGGGATTGTTCACTGCTGCTTACGTGCATAATTAAAATACTGACACAAAGTTTTATCGTGACTAGATGGTTCTGGCTATGAACAGTAGGGGGCACTGGAGTACAGACTAACTAGCACAGCACATCAGAAAAAAGGAGTAAATAAGAACGGAAAAAGGAACTATCTTGAGAGTCAAGAAACTCCTAAAAGAACAGGAGGGAGAAACCAAAGTGTTTCTAACTGTCTGCACTTCTAAGGCAGGGTCAGATGCCAGTTTCAAATCTAGATCTGCTGCTTGCTGATTCTGGATCTTGGGTGAGTTACATAACCTCTCTTCTTTACCCGCTTCCTTAGCTGTAAAACAGAAAATGATGGCACCTACCTCTTAGGTTAAAATAAGATAATCCATGTAAGCACACGGTGCCTGGCTACACAGTAAATACACAATCAATATCCAACATTTCTTAGGCCGGCTGCCCAGGGACAACTTACATCATGCACAGTAATGGTCTCAGTTCTACAATGAGGAAAACCTCAGCCCTAAGAGATACACAGGAAGGGAGAGCCGCATTACCTTGTGAGCAGGCCATCCGGTTTATCCTGACCCCAGGGGCTTTGGTCCACGAGCGGGCCTTTCCCATTTGGCCTCAAATCATCAAAGTGAGAACTACCTGAGAAGAGAGGGGGAAAGAATTAAAACACAAACATATGCTTTAACATACAGACCACAGGTTCTCAGTTGGTGGTGGTTCACCACCAACATACAGCTCAAAAGCACAGGGAAGGCCTATGCTGATGTTAGGTGGAGCTCCCACAGAGCACACAAAGAGGGAAAAGAAAAGTATTGCATCCAGATGTCTTTACTGCCGAAAACATAACTCTCCCAGCCAGTCCAACTCCCTTTTCTTGGAAACAGAGTGCATTATAAAAAGAACAAAGCCATGAAATCTGCAGACGTAAGTTCTATCACCAGCTCTACGGTTTATTGACCTTTTGACTTGGGGCAAGTCATCTAACCTCTCATCTCCGTAACTTGACCTGACCTGCCTTCCTCACAGGTTTATTGTAGGGATCAAGTAGTTGACGTGTGAGTAAGCACTTGGAAGACCACACAACATATTATAAAACATAAGACAGTGATCTTACTACTATTTACTGCAAGTAAGACTTCAGTTCCAAGGTGGAAAAAGGCAAGGGTCAGAGATCTAGAACTGGAAAGGGTCTCAGCACTCTAGAGAATGAGAAGCGCTGTCGCTGTCAACCAACTGCGCCCTGAAAAACCAAGGAGCCCAAGGACTACCAACAAAGACATATTTGGGAAAGTTGTTACACCACAATAAACCTGAAAAGGAAAATTAATCTGCCAATAGTTCCTCCGCTCCTTAAAAGCCAAACCTCTTGTCAACAGGGAACAGCAAGAAGAGGCCACAGAGGGAGGCTGCTCTGACACACGGGCTTCAAGGAGCACCGGAGATGTGAAACGTCACCAAAGAACTTTGCTCTGAAGACTATTACTAAACGTGGATTTTCCAACCATGCATTCACATGAACCAGAAAAAACAAACTTTGAAGTTGAAAAAGAAAACACAATAGTTTAAAACATGAAAATAATGACATTTCAATGCCTCGAATCAATCACCAAGGCCTGTTAATTTTTCTTCCTAAATGCCTCTCAAATCAATATATTCCTATCCCAACATCACTATACTAATCCATGTGACCAACATCTCCCTGGAATGACTTCAAAAATCTCAACTAGTCCTCCTTTCTCACCCCACCTTCTAACCCAATCTCGACACTGTGGCCAGAGGAGTTTTTGAAAAAGCAAATCTGATCACATCACTTAAAACCTTTTAAAAGTTCCCTATGGATAAACCCAAACCCCTTAACACGGCTGCCACGTCTCCTCCCAGTCTGGATCCAGCCCACCTCTTCAGCCACATCACTCACCATGGTCCTCTGGCCCCCTACCTCCTTGAATGCCATACTCTAAGTATATTCCAGTTACCGCAGTTGTACGAAGATCCCATTAGAAACTGACTTCTGGGCCGGTCTGGCGGCATAGCGGTTAAGTCTGCGCACTTCGGTGGCCCAGCGTTTGCAGGTTCGCATCCCGGGCGCAGACCGATGCAACGCTTATCAAGCCATGCTGTGGCAGCATCCCATATAAAGTAGAGGAAGATGGGCATGGATGTTAGTCCAGGGCCAATCTTCCTCATCAAAAAAGAGGAGGATTGGCAACAGATGTTAGCTTAGGGCTGATCTTCCTCGCAAAAAAAAAAAAAAAGGAAAGAAACTGACTTCCTTTTCCTTACTCTGCTTTTCATGGCTAACACCTATCCACCCTGGGGCCAGGGGTCAGCAAACTTTTTCTGTAAAGGGTCAGAGAGTAAATGCCCTAGGTTTTGCAGGCCATATAGTCTCTGTCCCAACTATTCAATTCTGCCATTATAGTACAAAAGCAGGCTGTATTTCAGTAAAACTTTACTTACGGTCACTGAAATTTGAATATTACATAATTGTCACATGTCACAAAATATTATTCTCTCTTCTTTTTAAACATTTAAAAATGTAAAAATTATTATTAGCTCACAGGCTGTACAAAAGCGAGCAGCAGGCTGTATTTGGCCCACGGACTGTAGTTAGCCAACCTCTGCTGTAGGCCACGTCTCAGAGTCACTTCTGAGAAGCCTTTTCTGACTGCTCCCAGCCTGGTCAGATGCCCTGACATTGGTGTTCCCACAGCTGCCTGTGATTCTCCCATCATAGCCTTGCTTGCTGTCTATTGTAACTCTCTTCCTAGTCAGACTGTCAGCTTATTGAGGACAAGACTATGTCTGATTTATTCATCACTGCACCCCCATCATCCAGCACACCAGTCAGCACACTATAAGAAATTCAATCACGCGACAATTCAATAGAAAATACTAGATGAATGTGGACCCCTTATGTGCCTTATATAAATATATTAACATCTAAGTTCAAGCCTGTAGCTTTCTTTGGAATGTTTCAGGTCATCTTCCCACTGTCTTCAGCATACAACAAAAATAAGAAAGGGAGAACTAGACAGAATAGGTTGTTTCTAGAATTCTACAACCCATGGTTAGTTAATTTTTTCTGGAAATCAAATCACCAACTGGATTCTACCTCTCTTACTTTACCCTCACTGAACTAAGAAGTTTAGAGAACCAAGTATTTAAGTTAGTGAATGGCATACTGAGATACCTATTAGAATCGCTGAAATCCAAAAAACTGACAGTACCAAGTGCTGACAAGGATGTGGAGCAATAGTAACTCATTCATTGATTGCAGAAGTAGAAAACAGTACAGACACTTTGGAAGTAGTTTGGCAGTTTCTTATAAAGCTAAACATAGTCTTACCATATGATTCAACAATCACATTCCTAGGTATTCACTGATTTGAAAACTTATGCCCATATAAAAACCTGCATGCAAATGTTTATAGCACCTTTATTCACAATCATCAAAAACTGTAAGCAACTAAGATGTCCTTCAATAGGTGACTGGATAAACAAACTGTCATACATCCACATAACAAAATATTATTCAGCCATAAAAAATGAGTTATCTCTATCAAAATTCCCATGGCATTTTTCACAGAACTAGAACAAATAATTCTCAAATTTGTACAGAACCACAAAAGACTCCAAATAGCCAAAGTAAACTTGAGAAAGAAGAACAAAGCTGGCAGTATCACACTCCCTGATTTCAAACTACACTACAAAGCTATTATAATCAAAACAGCATGATATTGGCACAAAACAGATACACAGATCAATGGAACAGAATAAAGAGCCCAGAAATAAACTCACACATGTATCGTCAATTAATTTACGACAGAGGAGGCAAGAACACACAATGGGGAAAGGACAGTCTCTCCAATAACTGGTGTTAGGAAAACTGGACAGCCACATGCAAAAGAATGAAACTGGACCACACTATCTCACACCACATACAAAAAGAAACTCAAAATGGGTTAAAGACTTGAATGTAAGAGCTGAAACCATAAAACTCCTAGAGGAAAACATAGGCGGTAAGCTCCTTGACATAGGTCTTAGTGATGTTTTTTTAGATCTGACTCCAAAGGCAAGGGCAAGAAAAGCAAAAATAAACTAATGGGACTACATCAAACTAAAAAGCTTCTGCACAGCAAAGACAACCATCAACAAAACAAAAAGGCAATCTACTAAATGGGAGGAGATATTTGCAAATCATATATCTGATCAGGGGTTAATATCCAAAATACATAAAGAACTCAAACATCTCACTAACAAACAAACAATCCAATTAAAAAATGGGCAGAAGATCTGAATAGACATATTTTCAAAGAAGACATGCAGATGGCCAACAGGCACATGAAAAGATGCTCAACATCACTAATCATTGGGCAAATGCAAACCAAAACCACAATGAGATAACACCTCCCACCTCTCAGAATAGCTATTATAAAAAAGACAAAAAATAACAAGTGTTGGCAAGGATGTGGAGAAAAGGGAATTCTTGTGCACTGTTGGTGGGAATGTAAATTGGTGCAGCCACTATGGAAAACAGTATGGAGGTTCCTCAAAAAATTAAAAATAGAACTACCATGTGATCCAGCAATCCCACTTCTGAGTATACATCTGAAGAGAACGAAAACACAAATTTGAAAAGATATCTGCACCCCCATGTTCACTGCAGCATTATTTACAATAGCCAAGATATGGAAGCAGCCTAAGGGTCCATCGATAGATGAATGGATAAAGATGTGATATATATACACAATGGAATACTACTCAGTTATAAAACAGAATGAAATTTTGCCACTTGTGACAACATCGATGGACCTTGAGAAAATTATGCTAAGTGAAATAAGTCAGACAGAGAAAGACAAATACCAAATGATTTAACTTACATGTGGAATCAAAAAAACAAAACATACAAACAAAACAAAATAAAACCTAGAATCATAGATACAGAGAACAAAAGAGAGGAGTTGGGGGGGGCAAAGTGGGGGAATGGGATCAATAAGTACAAACTTCCAGTTATAAAATAAATAAGTCATGGGGATGTAATACACAGCATGGAGAATACGGTCAATAATATTGTAGTAACTTTGTATGATGATAGATGGTAACTAGATTTATTGTGGTGATCAGTTCACAATGTATACAAATGTTGATTCACTATGTTGTACACATGAAACTAACATAACATTGTATGTCAATTATACTTCAATTAAAAAAAAGAAGTTATCAAGCCACAAAAAGACATGAATGAATATTGCTAAGTGACAGAAGCCAGTCTGAAAAGGCTACATACTATATGATTCCAATTATATAACATTCTGGATAAAGCAAAACTATAGAGATGATGAATAGATCAGTGGCTGCCAGGGGTTGGGGGTGGGGGTAAGGCTTAAATAAGTGAAGCACAGGGGACTTTTTAGGGCAGGGAAACTGTAAGAAACTGTAATGGTAGATACATGACACTATATATGGGTTTCAAAACCCATAGAACTTTACAGCACAAAGAGTGAACCTTAATGTATCCAAACTAAAAAAAATCATTATGGAGGTCAGGGATCCTGGAGTGAAATGTAGAAAATGATGCAAGAATCTAACTATATTACAAATGTATGAAACAACCTCACTGAAGGAGGTAGGAGAAA